TTCTTTCATGTTCACATCTTACCAATAGTATGATTTTTGAAACTGTTGTCCATCTCATGCTTTTTGTTCTTCAATGATTCTTCATTGCTTTCAATCTTTTCTTAGATGTTTAATAAACCTATGCCACTGCAATCTAGGAATTGTATCTTTTAGAGAAAAAAGCATAGTATTGATAAGTTGAGAAATGTTCTTGATTGGAAGTTCTCAATCAACATTGTAAATCTTAAATGAAGAGTCAATTTTTAGAGAAACAAGGTAGCCCTTGAATTTTGAGGGTTCTATAGATTTCACACACAAATTGAAAAGGGATTCCTTTAATTCAACTTACTGCATTACTCTTTTTAGCAAACAATTTAACAAGTTCTCAGGCATATTTCATTCACACTTAAAAGCTACTCTTTCTCTTTACAGAGGGAGGGTTGTAAAGATTTTATACATATTGTTCCTAATATTTTCAAGTGAAAACCTGAATTTACCCAACTCAGACCTGGGAACATTCTTAATGATAGGGAACAGCACCCCACGAGTTCCATAACAGATGTTCAGCTATTGCAGACCTGAATGCATTGACATAACTAAGTAAATTATTGAATTTCCCTTTACAAATACTATCTGGTACATGCTAACTTTTTCACAACTGACTAGTTTTATTTTTATGGTGATTTTCTAAGCCCGGCTTAGATGTGGCACAAAGCCGAAAGTATAGGGCACCCAGTGAGGATTGAACTCACTAGACAATATTGATCTAGCAAGACAAGCTTTCTAACCATTACACCACGTCAAGGTGCCTCGGTTTTATTTTTGTAGTCTGGTGATTCTCAACCACCATGCGAAATATTGTCATGGCATATGTCTCTGTGTGGAAGTAGTAATAGTATTAGTATTTGAATAAATGAATAATTATTAAACTTTTTTTTCAAATAATTCTGTTATTTTTAAAAAGAATTATTTTACTATTCATTTTTAAGATCTCAAAATAAAACATTCAACAGTACATTTTGGATATTCATACAAAAGGAATATCCTACATTGATCTAAAAAGGATTTTATCAGTTTTCTTGCCATTTTCTATTTATGTGAATTAGGTTTCTCAACCTTAAATAACATAAAAAAATAAGAATCAAGAAAGATTGTTCAACTGAAGAAGAAATGAGGGTGTGCATATTCTAACAAACACTGAACTCTGATCAGGAGGTTTTGAGGAGCATGGAACCACCTCTTAATTGCTGGTATTCCCAGATCCACCCTGACCCGGAGTGGTAGCATGGGCAAATAGTTAACCCCCAAACTGGGGTCAAAACACTAAGAAAGTGTAAAGATAGGTTTTAATACCAGAAATAATTTTAAAACACATTATTACCAGCTATACATTTTTTGAAAAAAAATTCTTACCGGAAATAGATTTGCAAAGGAAAATTCTTACGAGAAATAAAAATTTTGTTGGCATTAAATAACCCACTGAGGTGTTGATATGCCATAAAACAAACCAAACCTACCAAACACTGAACAAATAGAAAAAAACACCGGACACAGGATTCACACTAAAAAGCTGCACAAATAGTTGAATAGAAACATTGAAATAAAGTTCATATTTGTGTGTGTGTGTTTTTTTTTTTTTTTTTTTTTTTTTTAGATCTATGGTTTTATTTCATAGCTTTTAAATGTATACCCTTTAAAATTTTTTGCTAAGTATGCTGTGATATTTTTATTTTCCCCTAAGTGGTGTACCATTGCATAAAAAGGCTGAGATATCCTGATACAGTCAGTCACACTTAAATTTAAATTTTTGATCTTACTGGATATAATACGGTACAGGTGTAGGTAATTTTAATAAAGTTATTTTCTGTGTATGTAAGTATAGGCAGGACAGAAAATTTATAATGGAAGTTCTAAAATTAGGGAACCTGTTTATAACGAGATCACTATAATATAGAAAGAATCGGCTATCTGAAAGTATGCATCTGACGTTTAAGTTCCGGATATTAAAACCAAGAAATAAAATAGTATGAGCCTAAAAGTATGTAAGGGTTTTAGACATCGATGTTCTGAAAGTATTCTGTGATAGCTTCAAAAATAGTGACAAAAATAAACCTGCCAAAAGTAAATCTGCTATAAGAGACAAATTTATACTTGAATTTTTTTTTTTAATCTTTGCAATATTAATCTTTTTACAGGTTCAAAATAAAATAAAAACTTTTTAGTTTCACCAAAATAAGTATAGAAGAAAAATGCATAACAAAGGGAAAAGTTTTCTTTTGATGCATTTCATCCTTTAGGTCTTCATCAGACTAAATTTGTTATGTTGGTGCGTCTACACATGCACACAAACAAGGGATGCTGGAAATTTTGTTTTACTCAAGTCAATTTCATTTAGATTATTTTTCTTTTTATCACTTTCATTAGTAGATATCCCAAACGATGATGCTAGGTTCTGCCAGGAATGGTTGTAAGAGCCAGGGTGCAAATTTTCTGTGGATGACTTTAGGATCAAGGCACTCGCTAGACATTTACATCATAGTGAATTGTTTTCTCATTTGATCACAGTAGCATTTTCTATGTCAAAATTATGGTCAGTTTCATTTCTTATCATAGTGTGGAAGATCTAATAGCAAAAGTGATGGAAACAAATTAAAAAAAAAAAATCTAAATAAAAAAAAAAAAAAAAATTTAAAAAGATTTTAGTTTAAAATTCACCACATCTCTCATCACATGCGTAGTCACACGAACATAATGAATTTGGTCTGATGAAGTTCTAAACAACAAAACGCGTCACAAGAAAACTTTTTTTATTATGTCAGACATTTTTTTCCCAGTTTTGTTCTTGATATATAAAAATATATATCGTTCTCTCACTCACTCACTCACAAAAAGTAGGCAGGTGAAAGAAATTTGAGAGAAAAAAAACATATTGATAATAAAACTAATAATGTTTATTGTATGTTAGTAGACCTTTTAACCAAATGGAAGCATAAGAAATATTTTAAAAATTGGGATTTTTTTAACCTACCTTTTTCTTTTCTCAACAAGATGAAAAATGAAATGGTACTTACTTTTCTGGGGGAATTTTATTTTTATTTTATTTTTTTATGTCTTTATTAATATTCTGATAATATCTTTTGAAAACAATAAAATTCTGAAATATGGTAATAGCAGTGTCAAGAGAAAATACATTTTTTTCCTAGCCCTAAGTTAAACTTTACCTTAATAATTTAGTCTAGTGATTTTTTATTTTTTTTTGTTGTTTTTTATGCTAAGAGCTTACCTAAAAACAGATGCTTCATATCTATCAGTCAATAAGAATTTATATTTTTTCAATTTCAAATAGTTATAAGTATGTTTTCCTTTTTTTTCTTTTTTTTTTTTTTTTTTTCTTAAATATATTTAGTCTAAACCTTTTTGTAAACTATTGTCGTGTTTATTTTATGTGTAAAGTGAGTTGTATAATTCATGAAGGAGCAAAGAGTGTCTGTTGCACATCACAAAACAGTGGTTCTCCAGTGATGATGTGTTGAAAGAGACAATTTGCACATGGCTAAAACAATCAGCAATGAAGATTCTATGAGGTGGTATTAATTCTTATTAAATGGATGGCATATGACAATGGAAGAAGACTAGATTTAAAATATGGAAATCTGTACTTCTGCTACTAAATCTGTTTTTAAATGAAAAAAAAAACACCGGTTTCTTTTTAGTTGTCCTTATTAGAAAGCTGACAAATGTTAAAAATTGTAATATTTTAATTGATTTTTCAAAGTTCTATGACAATGAAATAGGAATAACCTATTCAATTTTAATGTCTCTATACATTTCAAACCTCAGCACCATAATTGGTATATGCTGCTTACTGGTGTCTATTTTAAGATGTTGAAACTCGTATATCTTTCTACAGCAACAAAAAAAAAAAAAATCCCCAGAAAGCTATGGGATAATGAATGAGTAATGACTATGACCATATTGATGAGTGTAAATTGATTCAGATTATTGAGCCAAGATTGTGTGCAACGGCTGCAAATCTTGGAGGCATAGATGAGCAGTTGCAAGGAGAAATCCCATCCCAAAGCTTGAAGGATAATCTCTTGGGGAAAGTTAATAAATTCAGGTGAATCTCCCCCACAGATGGCATGTGTCTGACTATATATGTCTATAAAAAAACAATAACAGATGTTACACTCTGGTCTTTGCCTTTTATGAAACCAAGGTTGGCTCTTTTATGTTAAGGGATGAAAAATAGAATGAGGGTGCTTAATAACAAATTGGACCCCCTTTTTATTCTGTACCTCCGGGAGACAAAAAGTTTTAGGAATGAAACTGGGTTATATTCCTCAGACATAGTGACAAGGATTCTTGGCAAATGGAATAAAACCAAGGAAACAAACTTCCCTTATGTGCTGAGGAATTTGCTTAATGGATTTGTTTATGGTTGATCATCTGTTACGTAATTTTATTGTTGCTAGTGATTTCTAATTTTAAATGATAAAAATGAGAGGAAAAGAAAGGTTTTCTTATTTCTACTTGTGAAGAAATGACCATTTTATAAAGAAAATGATCCTTGTTTCAAATTATTTAACTACAGCACATAACTGAAATGGGAATTCAATTATTTCTTCATGTCAAAGAAAATTCCCCATTTTGTGCTGGGGGAAAAATATTGAGGGTTTTTTTTTTTTTTTTTTTTCCCCCCTTTCGGAAAATCTTGTAAACTATAATAATTAAATATATCTCAACACTTTTAATAAACTGTACTTAGCACTATTCCCATTGATTCATTTTTTTTATAGCTTATTAAAGTTTTTGAAGTTATTTAAAGCCAAAATGTTTTGGAGATAATGATTTTCTGATAAAAATCTTACTATTTTAACCCATAGCTGGAAAGAGAAGAGGTGAATTCATACCTTTCCCAAGGGTATTCGCACGTAAGTGAATATAAGGAACTCTACTGGAATTTGAACTAGGCTCTCCAATTTCTCATTCCGAGCCTTTACACCACACGTACGTCCAAGCTTACAGCACGTGGTATTTCTGAGTGGTCACCCATCTAGGTACTGGCCAGGTTCAATGTTGCTTAGCTTTGGTGATCAGACAAGAACTAGTGTTTCAGTAGCTCTATTCAGAATAAACTTGGATCCTAGACTTTCATTTTGTTGCCAATAGCGAGTCCGTGCACTCCAGACCATCAAGAGGATGCACTGTCCTGATCTTGTGTCCAATGAGGATTTCCACCAGATCTAAACATCTTCCACACCATCACTGGCTTAGTCAAGTCCCACAATGACCTGATGACTACCCTTCCAGAATTGTCTACTCGTTCGGCCTGCCATCTGCAAACTGGAGATGACCTTGTGGCAGACTGCACAACCAGTGGAAAGAAGGATGTTGTGTTCTCAGACCTCCAGCAGGTTAATTTGGCACTGGCGGATGTTCTTACACTCTACCAAGATAGTGGGAGTTGGAGGGACAAGGTGGCTTTCATGGGTTGAACACTTTCAAGGCATAAGATTTAGCAGTAGCAGCCAATAACATAATTCTCCATCTAGTTTCATGATTATGTACTATGTATCTGCATAAACTGTTCCTCTTACTCTGTAACACTCTACCTTGAGTGGCTGTTAGGCATGTAAAAAAAAAAAAAAATAAATAAAAATAAAAAATCAACCTATTTCATCAGAAAAATCAAACATTCAATTTTTTTCAAGAATCAACATTCCAATTAACATTGCTTTGAAATATAAAATCTAGAGATTTCTGTTTGTGCCTATTAAATAAGATGTCTAATGTGTACATAAAATGTCAACAGAATTGTGTCATCCTATTTCACTGTTTTTGTTTGTCTTTTGTCTGATGTGATTTCCAACAATACAAATATATTTGTTTAAAAGGCAAATTGCTGACTATTTAATATAACCTTTCTCTAAAAGATAACCAAAAACAAATGTACTCAATTATACATAACAATTTTATGTTACAACTGCCTGAAAGCATTTATTGGGAGAACATTTAATGAATAAAAATAACAACAAAATAAGATCAATAACAACATAACAAATGTCAAAGGAAAAGAGTTAATGTTGATACTATAAGTATAACAGAATTGGTTAATGATAATCATAATAGCAATTAGAAAACAATTTTTGTGAAGAAAAAAGATTACTTTTCTTCATTTGAAATTCATCAACAAATTTCTATTTAAAAAATAAAATTCAACTAAATAAAAATGGATTTCCCCTCCCTTTCCAATAGTTATTTTTTTTGTTTTTGAATATTTCATCAAATATATAAAATAATTTTAAATGATTGATAAAAATTATATTTAAAATTTGTCAAATGTAAGTTCTGTTCATTTTTAATTTTTTATTATCCAATGAAAATCTTTTTATCTTCATCCAAATGAAAATTTTTTTTTGTCCTCAAGAGAAACTGCTGTTTGATGTCTTTATCACAGGGATGCTTTTTTTTTTTGTTTCTTTGTTTTTTGGTTTTTTTTTTTTTTTCTTCTTTCTTCTCTCCCAATTTTCCAAAATACTGTGATGCAAATTTGCAATTTTTTTAGACATTTATATAAATGAATATAAAATGTTTTCCTACTTGTAATTAGAACATTTACAATTTCAGTACTAAATAACTTGCTTCAATATGTATTGATAGTATCCTATTTATATTTATCCTATTCTTATAAGGGATCAATCAAATATTTATATAAGCCTATATCTTTTTAAAATAACTGAAAATCATTCCCATCAACAGCTTTGTCTAATTTTGAATAAAACTATCTCACAGTATGCAATAAATTTCATTAAAAAACTCTTTATTGAAGTTAATATCTAACAGGTTGAAATTCATATCTATTTTCCATATCAGAAATTCTCAGATGGTTACTCTCTAGTTTGGCTAAATTAATATTGATTTAAAATTTGGTTGAAATAATCTGTTTGAGTATTGAAATTAAAGACTGGGAATTGTTATCCATAGAATACTACATTAAAATGCTAAATCCCTTCATGCAGTTGAGCATTTTATACCCATTAATAGCATTTTATATGAATGTGTTTGTCATTGGACTTTCAGATAATTAGCAAAAATATTTTTTATACTTTATACTTTATCAGCTGTTAGTCCTTCCTAATTGGTGGAGTTTGGAAAAATCATTGTAAATATATTTTCTTTATTTCTAATTATTTTTATGCTGACATAGTTCACAACTGTTCTAAATTCACTCAAACAATGATAAAATCCTGAGTCTAATGTAAAATATTTCCAAAATGTTGTCAAGGATTTATTTATAGTTTTTCTTTTTATGTCTGTGTTTCTGTTGGTTTTTTTTGTTGTTGTTTTTTTTTTTTGTTGTTGTTGTTTTTTTTTTGTTTTTGTTTTTTTTTTCTCATATTTTAGTTATATCTAAAATAAAGCAAAGAATGACAAATCAACTTATTCAAAATTAGTAATGGATAACGAAAACAGCGATTTAGTTTTAGACTAGTTGCAGAATTTGACAGATATTTCGGTTTTAGATACTATAGATTGTTGCTTTACATGAAACATTTTAAGGGATGTTTTTGTTGTTGTTTTTTTTTTTTTCATCTAGAATTTAACTTTGTCTCTAAATTAAAATCAAGATATATTAAACATTTGCCAAATATCATCTCTTGTATACACAGCTAGTGCAAACATTCCATGCCTCCATCCAAATCTATAATATTCTCCCACTTTCTACCTCATCTCAACATTTATAAGGTAATATACATATAAAATTCAGTTTTAATTGTAACCTAATTATGTACAATAATTGATTTCATGCAATATAGGTGAACAATTCAACTAGAAAAATTGAAAATGGATACAATGTATTTAAATACAAATTAGAAACATATCATAATAGATCATTCCATCTAAAATAAATCAACAATGTTTAGCTGTAATTTTTAACATCAACTTGAGATTTTTCTTGTTAAAATGTTGAATAATTTAACACGTGCAATACTATGGATAAAAACTAGTGAATTTTATGTAGTATTTTTTGTAAGACTTTGTATAAGCAAAACAAATTCACTGATTTGGATGAATGAAAAAAAAAGACCCCCCACCCCAGAATGATGTCAAAATCTGAAAATTTTTCATCCATTAATAGTCAATTGTACTTAGTTTTAATTTGTAATGTATATAAATATAGGTAGAAAAAAAGCAAATGTTGATAAGATAGTGAGGGTCACAAAGCACTGCCCAAGGCCTCCAATCAGGCTGCTTGAGGTCCAGAGGTAGTACGCACAGACCCTGCTTGTTTATACAGACATGTACACATTCTGATTCTAATTTTCTCAGATAGATTATAATAATATAGTTATAACGGTCATGTAGTTTATAAAGTTAGTGTTGAAACAATTTTTTCTTTCTGAAAAAAGCAAAAAAAAAAATGTAAAAAAAAAAAAATAAATAAATAAATAAAAATATAAAATAAAAAAAATAAAATAATTAAAACGCTTAAAGCCTTTGAATATGGAATAAATGAACATTAAAATGTAGTAAGACAGTTTCTTTCAACTTCCCACATTTATTATCAGGTTTTGGTATTAAAAATCAGTCTTTTTTATTGATGGGATATTGGGTTCACATATTAAGTCTTTTATAATACAGCATCAGAAATGAACATATAAATAAACAGAATCAGTCTTTACTAGTTTCATTAAACTTCACTGTATCTTATAAAGTAGTGAGTATCCTCAATTTGATTCTGGTTCTTTTTTTTTTTTTTTTTTTTTTTTAATTTACTTTTTTTAGATCTATATGAATTTCTAAGGAAACTATTGTTTTGTATTTTCATCTATCATTTTGTTTGTTTTCCTTTTTATAATGGTATATTTTCAAAATCATATTATTGATAAATGAAGTGCTTATAAATAACTTTTGTTTGATAAGCTCTTTCTCATTGAATTTGTCATAAATTGTGATTGACCCAGTGCCTGTATCAGTTTTGTGTATGTCTATTAGGAATTTTGATGAAATCATTCTAAGCTTTATGGAACTAAACCTTTTTCATGGCAACATGTTAAACCAAAAATATAATAAGTGAGATGTAACACAAGTTATTAAATATTGAAAATTTCTCTTGCAAAATGACAGCATTTATGGATTCAGCACATCATATCATTTCTTAGGAAAAAAAAGTTTTACAATATGATGCAAATATATAGATGTGTACATTTGTTAGTTTATAGCATTGACTTTTTATATTACTAAAGGGAAAACAAACATGTACTATCATCATACACCGGTACAGAAACCTTCATCACCATGATTAATAAGATTGAAATAATTAAAAGAAATAAGCAAAAATCAGGAGTTAGGTTTAATTAATTGATTCAGGACATGTTAATTTAAAAAAAAAAAAAAATGAAAAAAGATCTTTAACTTTTTCACACATCTGTACATGCAAAAAAAAAATTATTCAGAATGTTCTATTATTATAATTTATTTTAAAGAAAGAATAATCAGATCACACATTTGGGGACAGGTTAGTTTATTGCTTGTCACCACAAATTTTCTAAATCAGCAGGTCTCCAATGTTTCGACTTGTACACTCACCTTTTCTCAAAAACCCCAAAACACTAACAAACCTGCTCTCACCAATTGTTATTAATTAATATATGTGGCCTACTGCTTAACATCTTTGTTGTTCAAGCATAACTTAGTTTCTTCTCTTAAACAATCTTTTTTTTTTCTTCTGCTTTAGAATTAGATTTCAAACCATTTTCTTTGACTTAGTGAAAACTCATAGTTTTAATATATACTTTATGGGAGATGGGTTAAAAAAAACAAAATAAAGAAAGGCTAATTATACATAAACCTTACAGATGCCTTTTCTGATTATATAGAGATGGCTCAAAGGACTTAATATAAACTGACTCTAAAATTTTCTAATGGTGAAAATCAGAGTATTCCTCAGTTCTGAGAAACTTGGTCATGGGATCTGGTTTATGGATAGGTCTTTGATAACTGTTCAGCTATCCAGATGAATTAACGCACTTATGTAAATTCTCCTGAACAATGATGGGTATGGGCCGTTTAATCCCTGCTTCCAATCTCTGACCTGTTCTGCCTCTGGAGTCAGCATTGTA